TAACCGGTTCTCCCTTCACCTATTCAACTCCCTCCCCATGCAGGGAAGGGCAAGGAGAGCGAATGGAAAAAGAAGCCAGTTGAGGGTTTTTGATTCACACCATCCGCTTCTTTCTGTATTCGCGTCTCAACACCCTCATGAAAATGCAGCACATACTATAGCTGCCGCAATGGTGCACTGTAAGGCAGCATTCAATGCACCCAACCTTGCATTAGGAACTGCATATTTTGAATGCAACTAGTGAAGAATGAACTTGCAGCGTATTGAGTGAATTGACTTACAACTACAATGCTTCTAACAGACCAGAAAAATATGTCACATAAAGCTACAAATTATTAATTAGTAAATTAATAAAAACCTTCTGTCTGGAGAGTGTCTATTTCAGCAAACAGACAAGTTTTTCTTGCGCCACTTGTTTGTGGAAATATTTAGAGCCTTTCCTCACTCACCGATTCATCCATTAGCAATGTGACAATGCTTGCGCTATGCAGCGGACATGTTGTGTCCTTTCGTCATCCTTGTCTAGTTTAAGCACTTGAAAATTGCTACTATGAGTAACTGACAAGACTGAACTTTTACCATATATAGTGAAGCTTGCTAAGCTCAAGACTGCACTACATACTGACCTTCTGTGACCGAAGGTTTTGCAACTAGTCGCCACTAGTGCCGCCTGTAAAAGAACATTTTTTTTTTGCTCTACACTCTTGATATAGCTCCTGAAGGTTTCACCCAAAAGCTTCAAAGGAAATGATAGATACAAGCTGCACAAATCGGACTGATGAGATAAACCAGAATCAAATATCAACAATTTATTTACACAGTTCAACAGTGGGTGAAGATTCCTTGTACAAATGTTTTCTTTAGTGAACCAACTTTTCAAATATTGTTTCATTCATTGTCTGTTTGCTCAAGAGAACAGGAATAAAACAGAAAAGCAAGAGCGCAATAAAAAGCTTAGAATAAAATGTACAAGGTCAATCAAAATTTTCATTTTCCACTCAAGACGTGGAATTGTAAAATTGAATAGAAAAGGCAGTGTCAAAATGCAAGTTCCAACAATGTGTTTCTTTTTCTCCTCTCGATTCTCATCCTATCATACACAGTAAATGTAGTATGCAATAACAAAAGAAGAATGTGTTTGTCTCAACACTTTCTATTCTTTTTTTTAACAAGAAAACAGCAGTGCACTTTGCAAGCGATTTATGGCTCAGTGTACAACAAAAAAAGGTGGGGGCAGGGAGACAAATATGCATCAAAGGGAAAAGAAATTGATGAGATTACACACACAACAAGACGGTTATTCATTTCTTCTGAGATCGGCATGTACATTCAGAATACGGTTACGGAATATGCATGTACACGGATACTTTTACAAGGGTAGAGTAACAACACAGCACAGGAGCAAAACTGCAGCTTTCTTTCCAGTATAGATGTCTGTCACCAAGGGCATTCAAAGGCCCTGCCTTCTGTTTGCATCACAAATAATACCCCCTTCTTGAAGGCTGCTCACAGTAATGTACGCATGACAATCTGTGCTACACTATTGTAAAACAAGGAAACTTATCCCAAGGCAGGGCCCTTGGCCACATGATGGAACAGCCACTCCTGCAAAGCACAAATGCGTAGGGATCCAATCACTTCAGAAACGACAACAACATGGAACAGATAATGGAGGATAACTCTTCTATCAATTCGCTGATTGCTGACTAGTGGCGATGCGTAGCAGCGGCATACAGGGCTGTCTCGGGGAACGCCTCCTCGCAAAATAAGAACAAGCAGGGGAAGGAAATAGAGGAAAGAAAAAACTGAGGATAGGCCCCCAACAGGCTCAGATGCACTGTGAAAAGTGTTGTGAAAGTCATGTGCTATTTTAGGCTCCATTGCCCTCCCTTATGGGGCAACAGCTGTTAATAAAGTACAGTCTTCCAACGTTACTTAAGCCAGTGCAGCAAAAAGAACATTAGAGACATGCTTGCCTACGAGATGAAAAACTTCATTACAGGTCGAGTTGTCCCATAAGCTGAAAGCGACAGTTGTGGAAGCTATGCAGCGAGCAATCCAAAGGCTTCTCCTCAAGTTTTTTCCTTCCATCATGGGGGAGGGGATGCTCAAGTGGTATGCCTTGTATCTCCAAAAGTGGTACAACTATCAGGCTCAATTTCCTGAAATAGTGCACACCCATTATTTTATTTTTCTCACTTAATAGGTTATTCTGGTATATATAAGGCACATCTTGATAACTATTCATCATTCTCCAAATGTCTCCACATCGCTTTATTTTTAAATCGAGGAAAAAAAAAGGGAACATATGACATGTTTGCAGAAGTGCCTGCAGTAATATTCTCATAAGGGCTGTACTCTGAGAACACTATTTTCTCAATACCAACAGCCAACACTTCCCAATGCTCTCAAAACCTCTATGTTATCATACATTATACTACTAGACCATATTCTTATTTTTTTTTTTTGCTGACGGGCACCCCTTGAGCCTTGTGCGGGAAAGAGCAAGCTATGAGGACCAGATCCACGACGTGAACTATCCTTGTGCGCTTCTAATCAACTACAAGAATAAACATTGTGCGAAAAACAAACAAACAATATGCTTGAAAAGCACCGTTACTCCACCAAACAGCACTGATAAAATGGTTTGTGCGATAATTTGTAGTCTGTGTTCTTGCAGCATGGGTGTAGTTGAACTGGAAATGACATCGTATAATCTGTTGATGACAGTATCATTTTAAAAACCCTTAAAGTGCTTGACAATGTTTGGTTCTCTCACTTTCTACTCTACAATTTGGAAATGCCCAAAAACATGTCATCACATATACACATATATGTAGGCGTCTTGTAAAAATAATGTGCCATCAAATACCGTTCTGAATAAAAATTCTGTGCAGTACCTGAATAGCCAGCGAAGCCATATTAAACAAACCTCACTGCAGAACCTTCCATCCAGTTTGTTCAGATGCTACTGACATGCCGTTCAGACGAGAATGTATAAATAATAATATGGTGATTGTTGGGGCTTAATGTCCCAAAACCATGACATGATTATGAGCAACGCTGTAGTGGAGGGCTCTGGAAATTTCGACTACCTGGGGTTATTACACGTGCACAAGAGCCTCAATCATTTTTGCCTTCATAGAAAATTTCGCTGCAGCGGCCGGGATACAAGGGATACAAGAAGGCAACCCCTTGTGAAACAAAGGGGAAGCAAAGGAGACAGTATTTGTAACTCTTAATTGAGGTGCAATATTATAATAAAGAAAAAATTAATGAACATAAACAAAATTAAAACTTGTCCCTGGTGAGGACCAAATGCACAACCTTGAAATCTTGAGAGTTGGAAGGTTATGGGTTCACTTTCTACCAAAGCAGGTTGTTTGTTCCTTCACTTCAATTATGTCATCATTACTACACTTCAACTAAAAAACAAATCTACTCTGTGAACTGGTGTAGCCAGGACGGAGTGGGGTGTGGGAGGTTGAACCCCTCTCCCCCTTGAATTTTTAATTTTGTATGTGTCTACATACAAAATTAAATACATGCACCAAAATGAGAGTTGACCCCCCCCCCCCCCAATTTCTGAAAAAGAAAAATTCATTCAGGATCTGCCCCTACTCTTGTGCTTTCTTTGGCTTTAGTATCAGTTGAGTCTAGAGAAAAAAATGAACCCTCGATTCATTCGTCTCGAAATGTACATTATGTTTTACCAAGATTTAAACAACTAAATTTCGCTCATATGACTGCCCATTAACTTCCAAGTTATGTGACATATTTGGAGGGGAACATTCATACAAGATCCATTCTAATGCGGTTAGGGTAATAAGCACCTGTCACTGTTGATTCATTGTGCTTTATGAGCATAAGCAATGTGAAGACGACATCATGGCTTTCTAACAAAGACTGAAAAAGACTACATTAACATCAAACAACCAAGATGCAACCTGGCAAATTATAGAATTAGCGACACTGCTCTGATACCAGGGGCATAAGCAGAATTTTACTTTTGGGGGACGGTCTGACCCCTCTATATTCATGTTTTTGTGTGCGTGTGTATATATGCACATACAATCTGATGGGAGTTATAATGGAACCTCCAGCCCTTCCACGCTCTGGTAACACTAATGCAAATAACCCAAGCAGGTCATGTCACTTAGCCATTTCTGCAGATAAACAAAGTTAAAAGGTGACACACAAAGGTGCCTGCTTTGTTCATTCAAGTGTATAAAATGGCTGCTTTTCAGGCACTGCATTTGAACTTCCATGAAATGTCTGAAAAAATGCTCATACCTAAATGTTAACAATATGCTTGAATAAAGAAAAATACAATATTCGGTCCATAAAAGAAAACTATTAATCTCTAGCACAGCATAAAATATGTTAGAAACGATGCACAAACAATTCGACTACACCCGCATTGCAGACGTCTGCCACATGTGCATGAAAATGCAAAGGGTGCGTTCACTCATGCCCTACACAGGCCTATACACAAGCATTCGAACTAGAGCGTTAAGCATCCATCCCTATAAAAATACTGCGAGCAGAAAAGGGATGTCAACAAGACAATTGAAACTTCTTGATGCAATAACTAGAAGCAAGCAAAGCTCATGAGGAAACCTTCGGCACAATATGTGTCACATGACAGCATGGCAGCGACAGCAAGCAGAGTGATGCAAATGTTCCTTTTTCTCTCCAGTCATACAGCAAGAACGCACTCCTCATGGTGTGTAGGTTGGCAGTGGAGTTCAATGGGGGCCACTCGGACAATGATTAACACTGTATAACACTGTAACAAAAGCACCAATTCAAATGGGGGAAAAAAAAGAAAAAGTACAGGCACAGACAACAATCTTTGTTACAACTTCTATTCGTACTCTTAATACTTGCAACTGCAATGACAAGACACTCGAATCTAATTATCTATACACACTTTCATTTGTTTTACCCTTAAACATCAACAAAAAACTGCTGTGTAATCTGTATTACACTAGCACTCGTTATTTAATGGAGGCTGCATTTTATACAAATTGGTTGTGCTGCAACAAATGGGCTTAATGGCCCCTTCTAGATTTTTGTTTAGTAGGGACTTCACAATAGTTCAAAGCTGCCAAAGCAAGCTTCCAGTTGCGAAGTACACTATAACACGGAAGCGCTTGATGAACATCTCTTAAATACAATGATCTGAACCAACATGATCTGTGCGCTTGCTTCTGGCTGTGGAACGCTATATCACGAGCAAACCTGTACTGTGTGCGAAAAAACACAAAAAGCATGATGTCAACCGAAAACACAGCCTCTCTACTGTTGTATTTCCAACATCCATCATCCAAATTAAATCAAGCTGATAATCCTGCCACATGAGGGGTTTCCAATACCAAGCCTTCACAAAATCAGTTTTAAAAGTTTATGAAAAAAAAAGTATTGCACAGGAATTACACAATATAAATATAATTCCTCATACATCAAATGGGCAAAAAAAAAATAAAGGTCATGATAATTTTACATGCTCTCAATCGGGACATTCATGCACACATATTCGTTGACGAAAATAATGTTAAAAGAAAAAATCGTACACTGAAGGAACTCGCGCCATAAAGGAAAAAAAAATAAAATGATGTATGCATCTGTACTCTGCTATCAAGATAAAAACATCTGTGATAAAGACAGTGGTCTATGTACACACTGACCACAAGGGTCATCAACAAAGAATAAGCTTTAAAAAAAACTAAAACACATTGAGCTGCGTTGGACATGCTTTGTTGCTGCACCCAGTCCGTCCTACACATATTGGCTATGTAAGTATATAGCTTTCACAAATGGCCGTGAAAGTACATTCTAACATGAAGGAGGCAACATATGCCACAAGCAAGCCTAACAGTCACCTGCAACTTGGCAGTCACCAGCACGCAAACCATAACTTCACTCATTGATGCCTCGGCACTCATATAGAATATTCTGAGGGGCATAAAAAGTTGAGAAAAGCACATGAACCTCAACTTCTTTTATTAAATTTTTTAAAGATTAAAACTAGATGCTGACAATGTCTAAGCCTCATAGAAAGACATGCAATCATGCTAATGCTTCTGAACTTCTATAAAAACTAAATATCTAAAAAATACAGGGAGTAAAATATCTACTAGCACTATAAATAATAAAGTGTATACTATGCAACATCTGCCTTAGAAAAAGGAAATGTACTGTGCACAAACTTCACAAGAGAAAAGCCCTCTGCAAGCCATACTAAATAAAAGAAAATTATTAAAAGATGCAACATTCTGCCTGCATTAGGCTGACTAATGTCAGCTTTGCTGTTGAAGTGAGTGAGCCTGAGCTGTTGAAAGTTGTCAGTAACAAAATATGCTCATTTTTAACCAGAAATTTTCCCTGAAGAAATAAATTCATGCTTCTTACTTAAAAGACTTTTCTTGATTTTCAAACGTGGCAAAATATTTTGCCTTAACATAATAGAATTATATGCACTTCTACACAACTAGAGGTGCTCCCATAGCAATATACGAAGTGATAAAAAAAATTACAGTTGAACAGCGAATTTTTTTTTGTAAAACATTTTGTCATAATAATCATCAGTGGAAAAAAAAAGTGGTCGTTTTCTACTCAAATGTGCATCATAAAATAAAAGTAATCAAGCAAGCTAATGGAAGAGTGAACTTGATACACTCGAGACGCAGCTTCATTAGGTTAGTTGCTAAGACCAGGCCCACTATTCACTCTTCACAGTCAGGCATGTAATGAGCATTTGCATATTCCTCAGTTGGCCACTACTATGCTTATTATTATTTCATTCAAAAGCAAATAGTGCCGAGGGCATCTCCTGCTCCGTAAGAAAAAAAAAAGAACAACAACGATGGAGCCTTTCACAACCTTTCCAAGTCACATTCTGTGCAGCGATCAAACATTAACAATAAAAAACAAAGGATGACACAGATGCTCGGCTCCGGCGATAACGGATGGCATGGCTTAATGCACAAGTAAGCGGGCTGGGAAATTCGATTCTTCTGCGAGGTGAAAAATGTTCACGAGATGAGGTGATAATAGCAGCAGTAAGGAAAGACATGACAGAGTGGGGTGCCCAGCACAGTGAATTAGACGGAGGGACACTCGATGGAAAAAACATGAAAGTAAGCAATGAGTGAAGAATACAGTTATAAAAGACACTTTAGAGAAATCTGGCATACGCTGCTGTGAATAACAAGTTAAAAATGAGGGAAAAGCATGCAACAGTCACCCATGCAAGAAACAAAGGGTGTCAAGTTGGGTGGACCAACAGTCTCCCCCTTTGTTCTCTCTCACACAAATTTCTTTTCCCTGAGTCTGTCCAAACTCGTAAGGGGAAAGAGAAAAGTCCTTTCTCACTCACTCGTCTAGCCTGATGCCAATGCAACTTGTAAATAGATGCACTCACGCAAAAACAGCATGCACACCATCACATCCAAAAGAAAGGGAAGTTGGAAGCGAAAGCAATATGACAGGGACAAGGCAAGAAAAAGACTAAAGAATGGAAAGATGCTCAGAGAAAACCTCTCTTATTAAGATATCGCCACCCACACAAGCTCCGTAACGTTGCGCAGAGTCCCTGTTGAGTTGTAGAGCTCGTGACACCTCCACACAGAATTTGTGGCTCACACGACACACTTGGCCAGCCAGCCAAATGTGTCGGGTGGCACTAAATGTTCTTTTCACACCTCAATATTGTTCTATTTCTCTTCTTTTGCGTACACTGGTACATAGGTACATATATACGTGTGTGCGTGTGGGATCTATATATATATATATATGTATATATACTTATATATACTATACATCTGCACTCACTCGGCATGCATGCACGGCTAGGCATCCACGCCCATATGGATGCACACACAAGCACACACTATCACATCCATGTGTGTTGTGTACACGAGACGACAAGCATGTTACTTAATGCTAGAGCTCTCACACGGGTGCTCCCCGCTGACCGCCGGGCCTGCACAGAGAAGGCAGACCCCTCTTTCTCGTGCTCACTCTTTTACAGTTTGTATCCCAAGAGAAAATGTCATCCGCACACTCCGCTTGAAGCCACGGCCGGCCCGGCCACACGGCTCCCTGGGCCGAACGCAGCCTCGGCGGGGTAGTACGAAATGGGCAGAGGACGAGAGGCGGAGGAGGAGGGGGCGCGCGCTGTTTCTCACACGGACGCGGAGCGGGCCAGGTTCCGGTCAGGGTTCTTCCGGTCGAGACGTTTCCGGCGGAGGGGCGTGGGGGCGGGCGGAGGAGCCGGATGCTATTTCTTCTTGGCGTGGAGCATCTCCATGAGGAGCGTCTGTGACGGGGCACTGCCGCTCATGTGCTTGTAGAAGAGGTACTCCTCCCCGCGTGTGCTTATCAGCTTCAGACTCGGAAGCATCTGGTAGAGCTGGCCAAATTTGTCCTGCAGGAAAGTAAGCCATGATCAGACATCATGCATAGCAGGAAGGATGAGAAAGAAGCACCATATTTCAAAACTTATATATGTTAAATCTCTGCACTGTTGTCACCAGTATGCTCTAAAGTCTTTGAGGGCAGCATGAAACAACACAAAGATGAGGAAAGAAGTATGCAGGATAGGGACAAATCAACTGTATAAGTTCAAGATTCAGTCGTCGCAGAAAACAGTGGTACGGTAGGAGTAAATAGTCAGTGTTGGTTGCACACATGAATTCTTGACCCCCCCAAAAAAAAAGGGGGGGGGGGGGGGGCAGGCTGCATTTCCCCGCATACTCAGCCTAAATTAAGGGTTTAGAAGTGGCCATCCCTGCCCTGACTACTCTCCAAGGAGGGGTTAGGGGAAGGCATTTGTGCAAACCTTACTTAAGCAGCTTCAACTACCAGGTGCTCTTTGTCAATAAAGGGGATGTAATATACTGCTGTAATCTTCCCTCATAAAAATGGGATGTGAATTCCCATCTGGAAATTGAGTTTCCAGTCTGGATTTTAGCTGGAAACTGCCATTCAGGTGGGGAATTTCCCATTCCCAGCTAGAAATGCTATATCCGGCTGGGAATTAATCCCATCCCAGGCTGGGAATAGTATTTCCAGGCTAGAAATAGAAATCATTCCCAACTGGAAAGCCATTTCCAGCTTGAAGCTTCCCAGTCCAGTTTGGAAGTTATATTTCCAGCAGGAAATGTTTCTATCTTGCAGTTGGGAAATAATTTGCTCGATTAGCATGAAATTTTTCTGTTTGAGAGTGGTTATTTTCAAAAGAAATTCGAGCCAAACAAAAAGATGCTATACATACAAGGGACAGAATAAGTGTTTACTGCCTTTACTCGAATGTAACTTGAGTTTTTTTTCCAGAATTTTGCTTCCTAAAGTCCCACACCTTACAAATCGAATACCAAAACTCAACTTTTTCTTCCTAGACGCAATGAAAAAGTAACCTCTCGGTAACGCAAGCTGTGCATTCGAGGATGACTCAGAGTATTGGTCACATGCAAGCATGGGCGTCGGCAGGGGGTTAGAAAAGGGGCACTTGCACCCTTCAATACACACTAACATTTACCCCCGCCCAAGCTACCCCAGCGCTTTTTCCCTCCCCTGGCAGTGGTACAACACAAGTTTGCATTCCCCCCCCCCCCCCCCCCCCCCAGAAAGATGCTCTCGACGGCCAAGATCATATGGCCGGCATACATTTAACCACTACGATTTTAGCAAACACGTCGTTGCAAAATGTTATAACTGTAGACGTTCAACCAGTAGCTTGCTCAGTTGCTCATTAAGCCGCTGCGCCTACAGCTTTAAACAAAACCAGTTTCTGCCTTATGAAAAGGAGCCTTACCTTTAAATTCACCATTGACTACCATGACCTAATATTTGTAAGCTTTGCTAGCAAGCTCTCGTCGATTCCGCAGCCACAAACCACGAAAAACAATGCGCTACCGCGGTTTTCGTTGACATCTCAGTAGCACTAGTAGCACTATTGTCGTATCATTTCTCAGTGCATTCTAACGCTATTTTCAAATAATAGCCAACTCTTTATTACTCATACATCATAGGAAAAGTAATAATCTTTTTTAAAGGTAACATTATTAATGACAGTGGTCCAGTAAACTGAATAAATCATTATTAGCCACAATCCAGAGGGCCCGTGTGGCGGCAGAGGGCCTTGGCCTCTCTGTCCCGACGTGGGAGCAGCCAGCATCAGTCCTGGACTGATCCTCAGGACTTCAATAATGTTCTGGAGCAGTTGCACATGTCGTGCACAGTCATGGAGCAAGTTGCACATGTGCTTGCTCGTTGTACGTTAGTTTAGTGATTTTCCTTGAGTAATACATGTGTGGCGGTTGTATGAAATAGTTCAGTTTTATCTCTGGAAAGTGCTACGAGTGATGACAGTGCGTTCAAGTGGTTTTTACAGCTGTACTGTGTGTGATGTGTTGGATTGAGCGCCGATCATGGGACATGGATTATGTCAAGTGCGGTTCTATCGTTTAGAGGTAAGTTTTGTACCTGTATATTTTAGACACGTTTGTCCCAAATGTTTGTTTGCAATGTTTCTATACACACAAAATGCATTACAGGCCGGTTTGGGCAAAAAGACTGTCGCCATATTTATGTGCCGTTCAATGCTTGCGCAAATGGCGTGCATGCGTCTTGGCAACTAATGCCAGTAATTACATAAGTGCGTGTGAATTAATTTGATGTTCATTTGGAGTACTTTAGGGTCAATAAAAATAATTGTTGCTTAGTATTTATTGGGGTTTAAACTGCAATGCCCATCAAATTTTTCCTAAAAAAGACATTTGCTTCAAATGCTGCTGTTGTTTTGAGTGTACGATAAAGTTGTGTTGTACTTCTAAGAAAAGCTGTATTGATGCTGTTCATGTGGGTTGGTGAGGTTATACTGTTGCTAGAATAGCGTTTTATAGGTTAATGTGGTTTTAATGTGCACTCACTATGCATGAATATATTTTTCAGGTAGTGTGCAAAGATGTAACCAACTCATTCCACATCTCGAGATACGTTCCAGCAGTTGCTACAAGCGTTCAAATAAATGTTTTTCAGTTTCAAAACCATTCTCTTTTCTGTGTTGAGTGATCTGGATGAACAGGTCCTGAAGAATTTGATGCTAATACGTATGCAATAGCAGTGAGGTGAAATCTGTACATTCTTTCAAGGCTTGCAACAAACCATTTCCTACCTAAAATGTTTCCATTCTCAGCTGGAAATATTTCGATTCCCAGCTGCATTATGGAACCTGGAAATTTTTCCAGGCTGGAAAATTTTCTATTCCCAGCTGGGAAATATTTCCATTCCCCACTGGATTATGGAACCTGAAAATTTTTCCATTTCCAGGTGGGAATATTTCCATTCCCTGCTGGATTATGAAACCTGGAAATTTTTCCAGGCTGAAAACATTTTCCATTCCCAGCTAGAATTTCCAGCCTGGAAAAATTTCAAGGTTCCATAACCCAGCTGGGAATGGGAATCATTTTCACCTGGGTTATGTGATGTTAGAAGTGCACGCACCAGCAAGCTTGTAACCTTTGCTAACAAACTGTTTTAAAAAAACTAAAGCCCTTTTCCAATCTTTATCTGCTGTGTATCATACTGCACTGTACTTGAAAGAGCGAGGAATCTCGACACCGAAATCTGCCACCAGTGGTTTACCTCACTTGTCGACAACCAAAAACTGCTTTCCGCAAATGCTTAACATATGTGCACACAAACTTCTAAATTTTGATCACAATCACAATCAGTTACCTCAAAACCCTCTTGGAAATTTGGAATGCTAAGCCTCTGCTACCTTGTAGGTCTGCCCATTTTGGCTCCCTCAAATTCCATCTTAACACCAGCTGATTAATTTACATCCCAACTTTGTGAGCTGAACAACAAAGCACATTACACCACATATATGAACCAAGGAATGCAACAAAATGAAAAGTTGGTCAGTTGGTCTCGATTCACAACGTATAGAATAGCGCAGAGCAAAACACCGGACAAAGAAAATAATTCTAAAGAAAACAAAGAAAAAACAAGAAGTACCTCAATCTGCTTAGCACCTATATGTGACTTTTAGGAATTCAACTTGTTGATCACTTGAGGCAATTTAAGGCTGGCTAATACACTGCTCTCTCTATATATGTAAACATAATGTCTCTAGTGTCTCTAGGATGAGTCTTTCGTCCATGCTACTGTGCCTATCAATAACTTCCATCCTATTAAACAGTGGCTTGCGAGCAACAAGTTTGATAATTAATCATTCTTTTCACATTTCCCCAGGTGCTACCATAATCTAACATTTGAGCACCTACCAGTCTAACCGATAGAACTATTGCCGCATGACACTGGAATCTTGTACAAGACTACTGTAGCACAATGAATGAAGGTGCTTCTGTGTTTCATACCATGTTGACCTTTCTTTCTGGTTTCCCTTTTTGCCCCACACTTAACACGCGTGCAAATGCTGCCCATATTCTTGGGAATTGTAAAAACTAGTTTCGCATCATATCTAAATGCAACATTTTTAAGGGTATGCGCCATCTTGTGAATGTAGGGAAGCAGAACTATCCGGCTTTCATTACCTTTTTTAAGGTTGCTACGTTTACTGAACTGTTTAATCCATCCCGCCACCTTCTCACAAAACCTAGTGACCATATAATCTAGAAACCCTGTTTTTTGCAACTACTGGATTTTGCCATGAACACTGCTTTGCACCGTGCATACACATGGCTTGGGCACGCCTGTACCAAGGATGCAGTTGACCCATCTTTAATCACTTAAGAATGAGCTGATGTGTAAGACAAAAAAAAACAGCCTTTTGTGACCTAGGCGCGTACTGCCAGCATACATGCTCCAGTTTAAATGTTAGCTTTCAGTGTAAAAATTGAAGGTTTAATCCTTTTTGGCAGTTGTGTGAAGTGTGCTTCTGCTATTTTTAAAATCTTAAAAATATCTCCCATCCTTTTGATGACATTGTTCCTTCATTCACAAAGGATTAAGTAATCGTCAATGTACAGAAATACTTCAACTGAAACCATCTTATCTGTCCTTATATTAGGACTTTACTTAAGAAAATGTTGCTAAGTAGTGGAGCAATGCGAGAGCTGATGAAAACTCCGCTCTTTTTAAGAAAGATTATCAAATTGCTAACGCCTACAAAAATGGATTTCAAGAAAACCTCAGAAGTTCCATGAAGCTGTTCACTGACGTCACAGTCTTATCAATGAACTTGGCTTCGTAATTGTCTGTGTGATACATGACTTCACAGTGGTCATGAGCTCTTTCTATGGCATGGAGTAGTACAGGTCTTCAACTTTATGCAAATTACATTGCACGTCTTCAAATTATTGTGCTGCAGAAATGTTCAGTCAGCATCTGAATCTCTTGTGCCCAGGTTGCTACTAAAGCCTTTTATGCCTCTCACATCACCAATTTCCAAAGTGATTAAACATGGGTTGGCTGCATCTTTGTATGGGCGGCCAAGTTTAAGTCATGTGTACACACTGTAGCTGTGCACAGCAGTTCTGATGCTCGGATCCAGAGGTTGCAAAAAGTAGGGTTTCCAGATTATCTGGTCACCACATCATGTGAGAAGATTCATCAAACAATCCAGTAAACACGAATGTCGTGAGAAAGATAATGAAAGCAGCATCGTCCCGATACTCATTGTTCACAAGATGGCGCATAACCTTAAGAATGTTGCATCCAGATATAATGTGAAAGTGGCTTTTACAGCTACCAAGAAGCTGGGCAGCATTTGTGTGCGTGTTAAAGGGACTGTTTACCATCCTTCATTAGTCTCCTGTCTTGTGTCGCAATGAAAAGCATACCATGTGAAGTGTCTAACCTTGCAGAGGTTTCTCTAGAAAGTGCGCAGAAATTTTTAAAACAGAATTTTTCTGCTCACATTATGTCTCCTTCCATCGGTATGATGAATGCCCACAACACTGGTTGGTGCCAGTGAAAGTCGAAAACTGAAACCGCGTGCGGTTCTTGCAGGCTTCATAAAGTTTGGTTATGAATTAAACAAATACCTTAGCGACCATTTTAGGCACGCACACACTTTTTGTTGTTCTCATGAGCAGCGGCAAATTTCGTGGTCGCGTTTCTCCGCTGTTAGCAGGCAGGCATGCTGGCAAGCGAACACACCGCCGGCAGCGCCACCAGGCGCCTATTTGAGCGCATGAGATAAAAAGCAAAAAATGGTGTCTGGCGCAACCTAAGCTACCTAAAGTGCATAAATACAATTTCAAGTTAAACGTGTTTATTTTTAAGCAAAATAAATAAGTCTACCTGTGAGAATTTCTAGGTTGTCAAGACTGCCCACAATTGCTGTTGGGTGGTACTACTGGCCACTTTTTTTTTTCTCAGTTAAAATTCTTTTTTTTTTCTGGCACAAAAGCATGCTCGCTTGTACCGATGTGATAAACGGTCTTTTCATTTGTGCCACAATCAGAAACATTTTTCTGAACAGGAGACAGTGGTTTTAAGCACAGGACAGAAGGCAAAACCAAAAAGAAAGGTGAATGTGATGTGAAACGCAGAAACACCTTCATTTCTTGTGCTACAGGAGTAGCGTACAAGATTCCTCTGTGACGCGGCAATAGTTATATCAATCAGACTGGTAGGTGGGCAACAGAAACATCAGAGGAAATGCGAAAAGAATGACCGACTATCAAACCAAGTTTCTCATTGCGCACAGCATCAATGCAAGCCACTGTTTAACAAGACAGAAGTGATAGGCACAGTTGCACGAACACAAGACTTATCGTAAAGACATACCATATTAATAAATATAGAGAGCAGTGTATCGGCCAGCCTTCTATTGTTTCAAAGGGGCCTTCCAACACTTTTTCAAGCAGCAATAGAATGGATTCCCTAAAAGAGCTTATTGCCTCACAAATTCCCTGCCGCAAAAATTTTTAGAATCCGCCCAGTACGAGCAGAGTTGCAAAGATTTGTCACACGCTGCAAGTGCATTCTTTCTTCTCTCATCTATATGAAAGCACTGGAAGCTAAGCAGGGAGGGGTGGAACAGTGAAAGAAAATATGTAATGTGCGCCTCAAGACCTTGAGCACTTTATATTTTTTTTTCATTGAATACACAGCTTTTCACCGCGGAAGGTTGCAACATGTGCGTGCACATAGTAGCCTCCCGCAGCGGCCCCTGTAACAACCGAGCGCGCCATGCTCATACAATGTCTGTGACAAGTGATTTTTGAGCTTGTACATTATTTGTCGAGAAAAGAGAGAGAAATTTATAGCTGACTATGAGAATTTATTGTGAATTCCAGGCCGTGTTCTGTGCTATAATATTTGGTTCTTGTGTTTTCGGGACCCTCGACTATTGATCGGCAGCGTTTTCTGACCATGCTCAAGAAATGTTGCAGGGCCCCTTTAATTGATAAACAAGCTGAATTTCTGAAAGTCATGCGCAGGCGGTAAACAGATTGAGGTACTTTTTGTTTGTCCTTTCTTTTGCTTAGAATTATTTTTCTTGTGCTTGTCTCGTATGGAATAAACCTCAGCTGAGAGTCAGTACTGTCCATGTGTGCTTCTTCAGTGTTTCATCCAGTAATCTGCGCTGTCCAATTCTAGACCTTATGAATCAAATCAGCTTAGGTACTGCTAACAATGCAGAAAGAAAGCAGCAAAAATCAGACAATCTTTATGAGAGGAGCAGGAAGCAAGAAATAAATTAGAAGTTTCTTGGTGAGCAGTCCACCATATTTACTGAATATGTGCCTTCAAGTGCAAAGCATAACCAATTAATTTTGACTGTAAATAAAGAATTCAATGCATTCCATCGTTAGGACATCCTCCAATTTTTTTATTTTTTTCACTCATAATTTTTATGGTAAGAAAGAGACAAATAATGATTGATTTTCACTTGAATATTGAATATTTACTGCATGAGATTCACTGTTGGCAGGGTGTAATTCAATGTCAGGAGCTTTCTCATCACAATCAACGATACAAATCAGCTGATCGTACGAATGCTATGTGCATTAGAGGTGCCACGTTTTTTGTAACATTTGTAGAGCATATTAAATTGAACAGGCACAAAGTTATTACGATTCTCACAGCTTCAGTGATGTGTGGGTTCATTTACGAAATTTTCATTGCCAATAGTGATTGTTTGGATACCTATCAAATCCTTCAAGCCTTTTTATATGCATGAAACTTCCGACACAATTTTCCATAAATAAGAGTGAATATGAAATACATAGAAATCCGATAAACATGATTACTTGTGTGCTTTTTCTCTAGAGCAAATTTATGCAATATCGAATACATGGCCACTGTAACTACAGCAATAATAAAACTAATGGGCTTTTCTGGACCAAAGCCACGGTACAATTATGAGGCACACTGTAGTGAGGAGCCCTATATCAATTTCGATCACCTGGGTTTACTATTTCTGAACTAGCACCCAAATTTATTTACAGGACTAAATTTACATTTCTGCTACTACATAGAAAAGTGGCAGCTTTAAAGGGCCTTTAAACCACTCCCCGAGTTTAAAGGTGAGACAGCAGTTTCTTACTCACCTTCACTACCTTTCCTACAAGCACTATATCCTCCTCACACTTATTTCTCCACAGAATACATGAAATGTCAGCACTACGGAATAAACCAATCAAAATTTTGTGTCTTTCGACTAAATGCTGCAATCTCCACTTGCACAGTTACAAACACAGTAAACAAAGCGAAATAAGATTATTGTGCACGATAGTGAAGCGAAACAAGGCAGAATGAACATGTGACTGTGTGGCAAAGCAGGGTAAGAGATGTTTAACAGATAGCTCTCGTGTATCCACCAATTGAGGGATTATTTCATACTGACGTCACATGAACAAACTGCTGGCGTCACGAATTGTGCTGCAAAGACCAAACACTGGAAACACCTGGAGAGATTCTCCATATTTTCAGAGGTTGTTCAGGGGTCTTTCAAGCTCAACTGTACAACACCACAGAGATTAAGCTACCATGGCAGATCGCACTGCAAATAAGATAACACATTTCTACTCCAAAGAAGGAATTTGTTCAAAGAAATAACAATCCACACACCACGACCACATTTCATAACTGCTGCATAACGAAAATTGTTCAAAGGATTTTTTTTTCACTGCAGGGATCACAGCTTCAATGTTACCAGCAATTTCCTAAAATCGAGGGGGTGTGGAAAGTGTTTAAAAAAATGTACGTACGCTGATCTGAGGGTAGTTGCTGAGGCAGTACTCAAGATGGACCTGCTTGGTCTGTTCCTGTGCTTCGTGCACCAGTCGCACGTTGCTCAAAGTCCGCACGTCTGCTCCAGCCGCACCAGCACACACAAAGGAGAAGACAGCAGAGGCCCACCAGGAAAGGAAATGCAGTGCCATACATTCAGAACACAGGTCTCTTAAACACAAAGCAAAACACCTTAATAGACTGAAAAAGCCTGGATTGTCCAGTGAATAAATCCCTCATACAAGTAGAAGGTGCAGTAAAATCACTATTAACTTGCAGCAGTGCAGCAGCTTTCCACGTGGGGAAACTTGCAATGAAAGCTTAAAAAAAAAAAAAAGCTAGCCCTTATGCCATTTTTTGAAATCACTGAGAAAAAGTTCCAGTGGGAGCTTCAAAAAGAGCACAAATGACGTCATTTTCTCCCATATAGAGTTTTTGATGAAATTAAAGGGAAAACTTTAAAACTGCTATTCCAGAACTGTGCCCATTTATTAAGCTTGTACACGTATACATAGGCAAAGACAGGGAATCAGACAGAAATGTTACTTAGAAATGAGGATGAAACAGCATGACTAAAACAAGGCCACAAGTACTCACGCTGCTTCATCCTCAGTTCTAAATGTGAATCACCTATGTTTCATCAAGTTGCTGCTCACAGTAATAATATGCACTGCAATGGCAGGCTGTTCTGCTGGCAAATCATGATACCAGTGCATTCATGCAGCCAAACACTTCATACCGATGGTTCTGTGTACACACACAAACAGTACCGGTTGTTTATTTACGACTTTCTAGCCACGCCACTGTTCGATTGTAATGGCTTGCTTTACAATGCCATATTAAATACAAGATATATGTACTAAAGAAGAAGTATTACATACAACGTATTCTCATTGCCTAAATGTTCCCTCATGCAGATGCACAGACTAGAAAAAAGTGAGAGACTAGATAATTGCCGCAAAAGTAGCTAAACTATGCTGTCAGGTGCAGCCTTCTGTGTGAAACAAAAATAATCATAGTTGGGAACATGTACGTCTAAAAAAGGCCGAATCGCTTGGGATGGCATGAAAAATTACTGCAGTACTGACACTGATGCCAAATTTGTATACACTGAATTGTTTCGAGGCCATTTTTATTGGTACCTAACATTGAAAATTATGCCAATTATACCAAATCTAGTAACTTAAAAAAGCAGGATTTCGCAAAGTGATTCTAAAGAATGATGTACCGGTCTGGTAACTGTTGGAGATAACACGGGACACGGGAGGGGGCGCGGAGGGGGCTCCGCAGAGCACCACGGCGGGCGCCGTGCATATTGTGGTGTAAGCAAAATCAAAGGTGAAGTTAGCTGCACATTGTCTGCTACGGTTCCTCCCACTTCACCTCGAGTGGCAAAAGATTGCAAGCACCCTTTACGAGAGCGCACGCGGCAAAGTGTGGGGAACCGCAGCAGACGATGTGCAACTAACTCTGCCTCTGGCGCTGATTGTGCTTGCGCCGCAGTACTATGCACGGCGCCCCGCTTGGTGATCCAAGGTGAGTGGCAGCGAGGGCCGTGGTACCTCTAACAGCGGCCACATATGTGCAAGAAACCCCCATGATCAGAAAGGCACCTATAAAGGAACGCCCACCATGAACATGTCCATAATAGTGTTCTCTTGGGCTCACTCACAAGAAGCGTTACAATGATGTCAGGTGTTTAGAGCTGGCTTATGGCTACGAAATAGTACCATCTCTAAATATGGGGGAAGTTTCTTTTTTTTTTTTCTCCTAGCAAACTAAAGCGCTCTGTGGTCCTGTGACTAAGGCACAGAGCTAGATCCTAATGCTAATTCCTCAGAGACATTCTTCTGTGATGCTACGATTTGCAAAAGAGTCTGAGAGATTCCAAATGAACAAAATGTTTTCTTCCTGAATTTTTTTTTTTTGCAGAGTACTGAGCCAATCTCATCCGAGTGTAGCAATGCCACAAAATTACACACTTCCTATCATTATGAATACTGTCAAATCAAATAGGCACATCCCATTACATTTTAGTGATTTAAATTTGAATTAAAGATCACAGATCTATCTTCTCAGCATCGAAAACTAAAAAAGAGGCAGGAAGGGGTTAAGCATGTTGCCTTCAATGATTAAGGTAGTATATTGGACAACCCAAATGATACACTGAAACTATGCAACTATTACACCTACTTGTAGTTTCCTGAACTCATCTACAAGGGCATAGATTTTGCAGAAGGTTCCCTGGGGCTCCTTCAAGGCCAGTGACCCATCTCCACAAGATGAAAATCTTACGAATTGACTCCTAGACACAAGAGTGTTTAAGATTCTCCCAACAGTTTGCGACAACTGGGATTCATATTCATAAAGAGTCACACAACCGGTTACAATGCCGGCCTGAATTTCATTAGTTTTTGTTGAGCGAGAAGAACAACAGAATCTGATGGGCTCATTTTTTTTTATGCAAGAATAGAAGATTTGGGGCTTTCAGACTGGATTAAGCACTTTATAAGGAAGCTCATTTTTTCTTCAGTTTTCATAAGTAGAATTTTGCCTATTCACCTAGACGGTGTAGCAATGGCTCCCCTGGTCTCTACAACATTTCATGCAACACCATACGGACAAAGACAGAAGCTGGATACTAAGAAAGCTTTAGTATAAATTCGAAGAGATCAATGTGTCTTGCACCAAGGCATAAAATGTTCAATTCCTAGTTGCTATGAGAAAGGTTGAACACCAAGCAACACCTTTGGCCACAAGTCAACAAAACCACCTTTCCGATGGCTCACCTTCAAGCACACATTCAGCAACTTGAGGTTGACACACTGCGTGGCAAAAATGCATCAGTGTTTGCCAAGCCAAAGCATCACTGGATACTAGTGCTTCTAGTTCACATAGCTGTTAGATAGATGAATGAATGGATGGATGGTCAAAGTAGATGAATGCAAACAATAGTAATACCAATGAAGCTATGCAGTCATGGAGAGCACCTAATGTATGGTATTAAGTGATCCTTGAAGTGCTAAAAATAAGACTGTCCCATCCACCTCTCTCACAAAGGAGTGAAGCATATTTACTGATATGATAAAATTTAAGCATTATGTGCAGTACGACAGCAGCAAACATGACAACTCAATGACTGTATTAATTGGGTCAAAAGAGTTGACATCAATACTTCAAACTTCCAAGAATTTTTTTAAAACTAAATGTTTGCTATACTGCTCTATGCTGTAAATTCTATCAATGAACACTGCCTTGCAAGCTATTCGAGATATATATGAACAAAAACACATGAGATGTTCAGTCACAGACGGTTTCAATGCATGCTCAATGCTGCGGAAAAGATTAACCAGAATGAATGAATGAATGAATGAATGAATGAATGAATGAATGAATGAATGACAATCTAGACACTGTACTTGAGAGTCCACATATTGAGTAAAATGAAAAGGCTGCCTGTTTGTACCTTGAGTCAGCTGGCTTCATCATCTAGCAAAAGAGATGTAAAAAAGGGTCTTGGAGACTTAGGAGCCCCAGTTGCAAGCATTATTCAGCAACTGCAAGATCTCGCAACAACCAAATACAGAAACCATGCCCCAAGCTAACATATGTTTGAGCAGCAAAGCAAGCAAGACGGGACAGATTTTTTTTTTTTTTTTGTAATGCAAAAGTTGTAAAAGATTGCCTGAATGCTTACATGCTGTACAGCCTAAATGTTACCGGGACCACATATACCTTATCTCTAGTGCTAAAAGAAAGCTGTTATTTGTTTTCTGCTTTCACTTATAAAAAAGAAAACCTTACAGTACAATGGCTTCGTAAAGTCAAAGGTAGAAATAGTCCACTGACAATAGCTCATACTAATACAAGACAACCCGTTTGTTCTTCTGAAATGCATTTTCCTTAAATCTTGGGGCAATTCACCAACACAAAGTAAATGAAGTAAAACATGAAGCACATTATGGTGTCATGCACACATAAAATGAAATATTAAACAAAATGGGATACGGAATTAGATGGTACATTGCAGCCAGTCATCATTTAGAAGCAGCCATCCAAAGTGGGTGGCACATGGCAAATGTACACATCTTGTGGAGGCACATGAAATTGAATGGTTCTGGAGGATTTGCACTAAACATTCTGAGACAATAGCCAATATGCGACTAAGGATTCAGGAGTGTCTTACAAGGTGCCAGATATCGAAATAAAAGCTGACTGCAACCTTGTTTTCAGATGCCTTTACTTTTTTAGACAATTGCATTCAACTTCTAAAAATTACACTTGAAGTGCGTTGCAGGCTATGCAATGTTCACTGAAATACATGCTTAGACTAGTGCTAAATAATGTGAATACCCTCTACAGTCAACAGTACAATTAATGGTAACATATGGCAATGGTAGGAATTAGTGATTTTTACGGAAAATGAAGGCTGCACATTTTCTGAATGCTAACTTAATATTGTGCCTCAAATACAGTGACATATGAGATGCACTTCAAACACTGTTAGGCAGTCAAATGAAAGATATATAAATCAGGAATAGTAATGTGTTACAAGCCCAAATTACAATACCATTGTTTACAATGAAATGCTATGGCCCCTTGCATTAAAAGTCAAATTATTACACTTTGTTATGAGTAATACCTCCATTTAAAGCCAACCATTATATGAACATATTTGCCTACACTGCAAACATATTACATTGAACACAAAGGAACGAGATAGGCTGGTACAAATGCACTTGTGTAGACTTGCCCAACTTAGGTACTCTGCTTCTTCACAAGAATAACAGATCACTCAAGCAAATACGGGGGTAATACAGTTGAGTTCGTTTAAAAGATATGCAAGTAATGCAGGAAAAGTAGACCGAGGTAACCATTTCAACTGTATATATAAAGCACCATTTATCTTTATATAAAAATGTGCTTTTTTGAAAGCTGCTACCCCCACTCCAACCTTTTGATCGTACAATGTCGAGCCCAGTTTCAAAGTGAGTGATATGCAAGTAATGCAGAAAAAGTAGACCGAGGTAACCATTTCAACTGTGTATATAAAGCACCATTTATCTTTATATAAATATTTGTTTTTTTTTTAAGCTGCTACCCCTACTCCAACCTTTTTAACGTACAGAAAATGTCGAGCTCAGTTTTATCTACAAGAAGCTAAGCCCCTAATCTCTAGAAGGGGCCACAGCAGAAAGCAGGAAGATGGGCAGGCATGCACAGGATAGCAAAGCAGCCAAGCTGGCAGGGCACCTGGGTTGAGCAGGAGCAGGAACTTGAGGCAGACATAGTCGACGGGGTCAAAGCGCAGCTCCTGCAGGCGAGCAGTGAGCGCATGTAGCTGGTCGGCCAACGCAGGCAGCCCCAGCAGTGCCAGTGACACGAGCGAGAACTTCTGGCCATTGGGTAGGGTGGTGTCGTCTGGCAAGCCATTGTGCAGCCGCTGGTGCACATGATCCAGGATGAGCATGTCACTCCATGACTGCTGCAGCAGCTTCATTTGGTCATCCACCTGTAGAAGTGACAAACAAATGCATAAGTAAACAGGTTTACCAGCCCCCACAGGCACACACCCTGGCCTGTCAGTCACCTGAAACACAACATACTTCCAAGCATCCTCGACAATGCTCCAACATACAGTAATGGCACCGAATGAGTTCATTATTTTGCCCAAACTTTTACTCAAGACAAGAAACTATTATTGTTACGGAGATGGTATGCACTGTGAGCGCTGGTGCTGCTGTGTGTGCATGCAGGTGACAGCGCATGGGCGGCCCACGCAGAAGATTAGAGGGTCTCGAAGACGTAGTGCTTTGGATGCAAAAATAATGAGGCAAAGCGAACACACAGCCAACACTACTCTCAATCACCCTCTGCATTCTGCCACTATCATGAGCATTGTGTGTACACACACTGTATGCACACCGGTGTTTCTACTGAGCTCACGATGCACATATATTGGTCTGAAGAGAAAGACCAGTGAACACCAAGTCAGTGCTATCCAATATTCCATGCCGACAGCTTCCAGTCAGTTTCACCTCGTGTATAATCAATATGTGATGCCTGCAGCACCAGGTACAACTGGCGCTTCCCATCATACCAGCATTGCAAGGACCCTCGTGTTTCTAGCTGCAAATCTAGGTAGAGTTCAGGAAGAGTAGTCATGTTGGCTGTGTAGTGGTATCACGCCAGAGCCATGTTCAGTTAAAAGACCCCCCAAGGCATTTAAATGCAATACTAAACTTTGCTATTGCCCCCAATGATTTTCCCCTAGGGCAAAACTGCCTTTCTTGTTTCCCCCCCCCCCTCTCTCTCTCTTTGTAAGTACACAGGAAGTCCAGTAGTGTAAAGAGACAATTACATACAACTCTCTAGATATTATACAAAAGAATGGCAAGTACTGCACTTCACAACATAACGCTTAAATCGTTAAGACTTTTGCATCACAAGGGGAAGAGAAATATACTTTAAAGAGCACCTGAACATTGCAAGTGAAAAATGATTCTGATCTGTATAGAATGCATATAATATGCTCATAATGTTGCATGTTTGCCTAAAACAGTTGGAATGCTTATGAACATTAACTTCACTATCCACCAAAGTTGTTCATATACTTTTGCATACAAAATAAGCTACCTAAACAAAACTGTTGAGATGCTTCAATCTGCATATCTGGAACAGTCCATACCTTCTATGAGGTTGCAGGTACAACAGAAATTTATGCCAGTGGGGAAATTCCTACCCTCCTTTATGCAAATTAATGTGTGTGTGCCAAACACACACACACACACACACACACACACACACACACACACACACACACACACACACACACTTTCAAGCATTCTTGACAGTGCTCCAGAGTACAGTAATGGCTATGACTTAGTTCATTATTTTGTCTATATTTCTGCCCCCCCGCAAACCTTCAAAAAAAAAAAAAAAAACTACTCCGTTTCGCTTGTAACAATGGTACCATAATGACTGCATTTTTGTTTTACTTCCACTGCTGACAGCGTTGGCCTGTGATGATGTAGTGTTTAGCGACACATAAAGATAGAAACGCACCAGTGAGTGCATTAAACGAACAAGGCGCAACACACCAGCGCGTACGACGGCGTGGCTAGGCCTAACAAAACCAAATACGCAGCAAGGTCGCTCGTCATCGCCGTGCGGGTCACGCACAAAGCGTAATAAGTACAAAAAAAAACAACAAAACAGGTACACCACCGCGGCGATGGACAATTAGCTGTCGGCCGCACGAAGTGCCTAAACGCAACCACGACAACGGCGCGTCAGCGAATGCCGATGGCCAAATTCCGTCTCTGCACGCCCAGAGGCGCACGTCGACAGCCAGCGGAAAGGGTGTTCACAATGGCGGTTGCTTCCATATTAATAATTATACGCCAAGACAAAGATGGCGCTTGCGCAAATGGCCGTGGATCGTGTCCAACTGCATTGTCCAGGTTGCAGGATTGGGCCGCAGCTCCGTGAGGAAACAAGTGCGCTGTGCTGGCTTGCCGACGGCAGAACGAGGGTCGAAGAACAAAAGAGCGCTCCAACAATGTGCCCGCCTTACGCCACCCGGAGTCTTTTTAAAAGCTCAAATCCCGTTGCGCGCCTAGACGGGAGCCAGGGGGCCGCAGCGCGCGCCTTCATATGCCTATCGGCTGTTCTTAACTGCCTCATTTGCCCTCTGTTCCTCGCCACCACGCATCGCGCGCATGTGACCGTATTTCTTTGCGTGCGCCATATGATGGGTGTCTAGTCAGATCTCCCCGCACTCGAAGACACGAATGGACTTAGGAGCCGGACGGCGCGACACGCTTCTGCTACTCGGACATTATTGGGAGGATCATGCTGAGGTGTGAGAGGTTCACTGCGTTAGCACGCTGGAAGTGGTCCTGAACTTCAATGGCCAGGGGAGGTTCAGTAATATATTGCACACACATAAGCAAATGGGCAGCAGTTTCAATTACTGAATGTGTCCCACTCTGTCGCTTTCCGCTTCGATGGCACGCGCGTTCATTACCGCACGCGGCTACTCTCATTCCGGCTGCAGCCGGACAAGACAGGTCCCGAAGCGGATGTGTGTACTGTTCGCCCCAGCGGACCGCCGGATATTCAAACGGGGTCGCTACGCGCCATATGTATCCGGCCAATTCGGTCGAACAGTTACCACAGGGGCTGGAAGGTTTGTTTTTTTCGGGAAAAATAATTTTTGAAACATCAGGAAGCAAATCCTCGCACTCGGCTGGGAGTCCGGACTACGTCGTCGGTAAACTTTGCCCGATGTACCTTCCAGCGTGCAGCTCAGATGACGTTCCTGTCAATGCCATTCGATAACTGCTCGGCGCGGCCCCGGCAGAATTTTTTTTACAGCGTATGAGATCGCAACGCGGGTCACGCGCAGCGCCGTAGTTGTCCGCCGCCAACCCCTGGCTACGGCACAGGACGCGGCAAAAAGAGCTGTCGGGACGACAGAATTGCATCCATTCGTCAGTAAGCCGTTGAATGGCGATTTACATTGAGAGAACAGGAGTACAGGGGCAGTGAGGAGGGAGGCAGAGCACTAAGTGCAGGGCCTACCACTGGAATGCGCCGCGCTCCCAGAGGGCAGGGGACAAGGTGACGAAGACATATCGGGCCAAGTACGAAGGGGTAGACACTGTATGCAGTGCATGCGGAGAGGAGGAGGAAACTGCCGAACACTTGATAATGTTCTGTAAAAGGCTTCATCCTATAGTTCAGAATGATGGCGCAGAGTTTTTCAAAGCACTGGGGTTTAGAGACAGGGAGGGCAAAATAGGCTTTATTTGATATGTGGGGTTGAACGTTCCAAAACCACCATATGATTATGAGAGACGCCGTAGTCCACTGGAGGGCACCGGAAATTTCGACCACCTGGGGTTCTTTAACGTGCACCCAAAGCAAAATAGATTTTAAGCGGGTAGAATTAACTAGAAGGAGGTTATCTGATTGGTGGCTAAGGTCAAGGCACGAGTGAAAATTAAACCATTCACTGCAAAGTACCAGTCCTATACTTCCCTATTTAAACTGAAAAAAAAAAGATAAATCTAGTTGGTGGTTCACTAAGTATTACGGCTAGGTGGCGTTAGCCGCCGCCCGCTCTAAAGGGTACAGCCACATCAATCCATCCATCTATCCAGTAGAGAGACCACGTGACTGAAACATTCCAAGCCCCGGCATATTCTTTGTGGAACAGCAGCAAAATACGCGTGAAATCGGTCAGCCACATATTTTTCATTATCCTAATACCTAGTAGGCTTGTGCAACGACTCATTCGGCAAACGTCCAGCTGTCATCGTAGCCATCCATACAAAACAGCGGTGTCAAACTACACATGGTTGCTACCATTGCCGCCGCGCTCACCAGCTGAAGAAAAATTCGGGGGCTGTGACGTTCAAGTACCAAGTGACTGGACGTACTTCGCCTACTCCGCTTTTCAGGCGAGAGCACTGCAAACTGCTCCTGGCTGCTCTCGGCGCAGCAAAAGCGCTCTCGCTCTACCAATGAATAACAGTGCTCCTGCACCTGTTCGATACCTGAAACACGCCGTCTCCGAGGAGAGCACTTTAAGCGTGCTTTTGAGTGCTCCTGCTCTCCCAATGGAATTCGCCATAAGACACGCAACTGCGCGTTTGAACTACCTATAAAAAGCAAAACCTTTCGCGATCCCCGCGCCAGGTTTTCGGGCAGATCGTTAGCAGGACTCCACATGTAGCTAAGTATACTATAGACTTCAAACGGGCCAGCAATTGAACGCCAATGACGCGCTTCGCGGCGAGTCCGTCGCGCACATCCGGCCGCTCACAGCGAAGAGGCCGGCCGGGCGAAAGCGGCGAGCGGCGCTCAATCAAACACGCACCGCCGGGTCCCGCAACGGGCGACAAAAGATGTAGGCCGGCTGTGAGTGACAGCCGCCGCTTCGACGCCGACAATGGCAGCGCCGTGCGACCCCGTAAAGGACCGGAATGAAACGGCGCGTACACCTTTGCCGCTATCATCTCGCACTCGGGCCCAACAAGATGGCAGAATGCGCGTAATCTTTCGCCATGAATGTCAGTTTCCGTGCCCCAACCCCTTCCGCGTGCTTGCTTATAATATATATCGAAACGACGCGCTACACAACCTGCCAGCCTCCTCCAAGCATGCACTCCACCGAGCGGGATGACGGGCACGCGCGTGCATGTTTTACGGCGACACGTCACCAAACCACTTCCGATGTGCGTGATACAATGAGCTTCTGCAGTGTTGAATGCGACGCACCCTCGGAGGTGCTCGCACATGTCGCGATTAGAGCAACTAGAATGCCGTCAATCTAGTTACAAGTAACTCACCATAAAAAATGAACAAAAGTTCATATATCTTGCAATCGAGTTTACAGGAGATTTAAAATCAATTTATGTAACAGACAGATTTATTGATACCGCGCTGAAAAGCTTCGATTGCATGACTGAATAACAGTTCCCAAGCCGGTCGAATTCTCAGCCT